CGGGGAACGAGGGAATTTTTTTCAATTTTTGAGGGTAATGTCTTCGACTAGATACGATTTGTGATCTTTTGACATATTGTTCATCAAAATCGGTCCAGCGAGAGCTGAGATTGAGCGTTCACAGACACAAAAAAAAAAATAAAAAAAAATAAAAAAAAAAAATAAAAAAACACATCATAGTAAAATTAATACCTTCTCAGCTTCGCATCGAAGCTAAAAAATCAAATAGTTTGAAAATTCGGATTAAAAAAAATTAGTTATTTTATCTTTAATGCGAAGCTGAGAAAGTATTAATTTTACTGTAACTTTTTCTTTTCTTACTATAACTTCTTTAAAAATGATCGAAACAAATTAATTTTTTAATTTTCTTGGGTATTTCCCATTCATTTGATATTAATTATTTAATTAATTGATCCTTTAGCTGCCCAAAGAGAGGGATTTAAAATAGTAACTTTTGTTCAAAAATTAACCTTTTTCAACTTACATTTTGAAGATGTTCCGAAATTATTGCGAGCTTCAAACATATTAAAATGAATTTTTTTACGTACTACACGTTAAAGAAAAAAAAATTGTACCAACGACTTATCTTCTATATAAAAATGGCTGTCATACTTAAAAAGTTTGAAATTTTATTTTTTCAATTTTAACTTATTATAATTTTTAAAAAATGTATGGATCTATACAATTTTTTTTTATAAATATCCCTTTTATCCAAAATACATTTTTTAGAAATCCCCTTACAAAGAGGGTTTCAAAACTTGAAACATACAAACGTTATATATAATATACGAACATAAAACTTTTACTACTTAATTTGTCAACGTCAATTTGAAAATGTTGATGAAATTCTCCGAGTTTGTTTAATTAAAGATTATGTTACATACTTAAGTTAGAGAAAAAATAACTCCCCCGACGACTATTTTGTACGTAAACTGTCCCGAAGTTAGACAACAAATATTACTTTGGTATACTATTGAAATTATAATTATACTATTGAATTTCATTTTAACATAGATTTTTTAGTTATTTTTTGTTTTTATTTAAATATTCACTTTTTACTGATTAATAATAATCTCAAAAGTTAGAAGGCGATGAAAAAATCTTATTACTGATTTGAAATCAGCCTAAAAATTCGTTTAGAACAAGTTTATTTTTGTCGCTGATTAAATTTTCTAATAGTCCAGTAATTTAAACCAAAGTTTTGCATCAAACACTTCAATTTTTATTGACATTTCCCATTGAAATAACGAAATATATTACTACTTTATAATTTTTTATACTTTCTCCATAAAATGTACAATATTAAATTATTTAATATCACTTTCATAGTATAATTACTATAATTAAAACTATAAATTACTATGTATTTATTCATATATTATACTTATAAATCAAAGAACTACCAATCAGGATATAATTTTTTGGAATAATCCACCAATTTCTTAAAATTATACACTAAGTACAGATTTGCATCGAAGCGTTTCTTACACCCAAAGAAAAACCTCAATCAATTTTGATAGAGAAATTTTATCAAGGGTTTATGATAATGTTTTATTAATACGAACAAAATAATTATTCTTATGACTAATTATTGTTCAAGATAAGAAAAAAAATCATCATATTGATAAATATATCATAGATTCAATAGTAATGATATATTTATCAAATTGAACAATGAATTTATTATATAGATCGAGGTTTTTCTCTGGGTGTATGATAGTGATTTTAATTAGTCAAATATCATCTATACTTGGCCTAACTATGCCACGATCCTCTCAATGTGCTACCGTTTTTATATTACATTTTTATTATTTAAAATTTAATTCATTTTTTTCTTATTAAATTATTGTCAAAGGAATTGTCGAGTTTAAAATAAAAATTTTGAATATCGTATGGATCCAAATTTTTCCAATCACTACTACGGTAATGTAGGTCTTAATCGGTGATGCTGAATTTATAGGGTTTCCCGTCCTTACACAGNAATCGGTGATGCTGAATTTATAGGGTTTCCCGTCCTTACACATGTGTAAATTATACAGCGTCATCAATAAGACCCTTAATTTCTTCAATACTAATGAAATTAAAAACTTTCATAAAGGAAAAAAAATTGTTTCTAAAATTACAATAATATGTAATTTAATAATTTTTTTTTTATCCCTTCGTGGTTAAAAATCCTAAACTTTAATTTTCTTTCATGGGAACCCCTATTTTTAGCTTAATGATATTATAGGAAAAAAAATTTGTTATTTCATGAACCGTTTTTCTCTTATTGCTTGTTAATGTTTAGCTTAGTTTCTATAGACAATTGTTTTCATATCTGTTACTTACAATACTAAGAATAAATGTCTCTATAGACATGAGGTTTTGGTGTTGTAACATCAACATAAACAAAATTTAGGATTTAATTTTGTTCTTTGTTTGGGTGCTTAAACGAATAACATAGCCGACCTAAGTTAGTGGGTAAGTAGCGTCGAGTTATTTATTTTTATTAATGGGACACCATACGGTCAATAGAAACAACGATATGACCGTGAGAATGAGCTTTTAGATGTTTTACAACCGAACTCTTCAATCATTCCAGTTAGCACGCGCTTACCTTACGCTTTTATACTCTGTCCTAATAATATTTCGGAGCGGCGCGTCAGTCTACTGCTGACTGTTATGACGTGTTTTATTGTCATTGATAAAGACGCACATAATTGTTAGGTTATAATTGGATAGATTTAAAACAACGCCATATTGGTAAACGGTCACTGACCAACTGTCTTTATTATGATTGTATAAATGTAGTTGTACTTAAGTTTAAAACATTGGATATAATTGAAATTGTTGGGGAATTCTTTATTTAAATTAATTTTTTATTTAAGCTCATTGTAAATCGATTCTTTTTGTCTAGAAAAAAAAAGAATAAAAGTTTTTTATATCTTTTTATGCAGTGCTGCTATTCACGACACAATCGCCTTTAATTTACAGTTATTTGTTAGTTTTTAGTAAGGCGGTTTTCTCTGCAAATAGTTGGCACAAAAGTGAGGAAGGAAAGAAAAATAAAATATAAATCAAACAAATTTTTAATTTTTTTGTGTGTGTGTGTTCTTTGATTTTTTGTTTTTTGGTTCTTTTTTATGTAACTTAAGCAACCTTTTAGAGAACTGAAGATCTATAATCTCCGGAAGTAAACACCCCATGTAAAATCTATGAAAGTAAAATATGTACTTATTTTTTTTAACAATATATATTATTAACTGATAAGTTTACATTATAAGTTATTTTGATATTTTTCATCCTATAATGTTTGATTGCAGTATATCTCCTCTATATTTATCCATTTGGTAATAAAAATTATAAAAAAAAGCATTTTTCTTTATATGTAACAAGCGATTGTCCCATTATTCGGTAAAAGTACACATGGTCATGTTTTAGCTTTAATTTAAAACCTTCGAATTTGCAATATTGTAACTAAAAGTTAATTTTGTACAGTTTTTGAAAATAAATTTTACTCTTTTAATTTGATACTTAATAGTTTATTTTTACTGCTTCTACAGCACTAATCGAGTCACGAGCAGAATACGGCCTAATACGTTATAATTCACAATGAAGCAAAAAATAAGAGTTCACTAAGTATGAAGTCATATTTGGTGAGTACAACTTTGAAAGATATTACTAAACAATAATATACATAAATGAGTTTATATATACATACATTTTTTTATACCTAGTATTAAACCCATACAGATAAAAAAATCGCTTTATCATATATCAATTTCTTAAAATTAATTTTCTAATAATTTCATTATTTATGAAAAACTTTAAATAAAGCTTGGGGTGTTAAACCTCGTATGTGCAAAATATGGAAATTAAAAATATTTATCTCTGAACTGAAAGAATAAGCCACTTTGTGATAGGGTTAAATAGGGTAATTGTAGATGAATATTTTCTATTTTTTATAGTAAACCATAGTATACTACAATATTATTTATTATGTAAGGAGTATTTTAAGTATCACAAATATATTTATAGTAAATACGAAATATGTAAAACGCTGTTAAATGACGTCAAGGTCTATTATTCGTCTTACACATTTCTTTGTAAAACTCGCAATTTAATCTTATGGAATTTAATGTATCTAGAGATTATTAATTACGCACTGAACATTATAGAATTTCTTATCAAACATTATGATGAGTCATTAAATTCATAAAAAATGGCCTGGAGTGATACATTATCATACGTACAAATAAATTTAAGACCGGTAAACTTTAAATTCATAATTAAATTGGTCATGACGGCTTTTGTCTAATAATTAATTTTTTTGAGAAAGCATATCTAATTTTCGTCGGCTACTCAAATATCAGATACTAAAGAACGAGTGATCCGTCCTGCCGCTCTCGAATACAATGTATGCCGTGGATTCATATTCGTGATGAGTATGTTTTCTAATGTAACAAAAACAAAATCTCCATGCAAATTTCTGACAGATTTTCATTTAATAGATACTTTTATTATATTTGAATTAATTATATTTATTAATTATTTACGTGTAAAAATCATGAAATAACTTAATGGTAAAAATGAACACAGTAAAATTAAAATTTAAGTTCCATTACCTGTCAATAATAACAATGTTTTTATAAATTCTGATAAGCGACTGCTAAATGGTAACCCGGTGCGTCGATAACAAAGTATAAAATAACTGGTTTTGATCGTCGGCGAGGGAGATTTTGAAATGTGAAAGTAATCGGTTACCACCGCCGCTCAACAGGAAATTCGTCACGTTATAAATGCCACTTGGAACCAACACAGGGAATAAATAGGAAAAAAATCATTTTTTTTTGTATAAAAACTGTTTCGCTCAAAATAGATCAAATAATGTTGTCCCACCCAAAACATGTTTTATACTCTGTATGGCGTCCTCTTAGAAAGCAAACGTTTGTCGATGACACAAACCAAAGAATCAACATACAGTTTTATCTAAATATGAATGAATAGTTAATATGCGATGACACAGGGCATACTTATGCGTTTAGGGCGGCGTTACGAAGATTTCAATGTATATTTGCGGAGGGTCGTCACGGTGGTCAAGGTCTGCTGGACTTAACACTATGGCGTATGGCACGTGGTATTAGTCGTCGAACTATGATTTACACGTAGGAAGGCGGCGGCTAAGAATGGTGGCGCGGATCACGGGTCTCGGTGTAACACGAAGCGATGCGGGACCATGTCATCTTGTTATATTAGTATACATGGAAAAAAATGAGTACACACTTTTACAAAAATATTGTTTTGCTAGGTAACCGAAAATATACTGTTTGTCTTTAATCTTACGAAAAATTTTAATTTAAATTATGTTGAAAAAAATTATTTTAGAGTGAAATGGGATAATTTTAAAAACATTTTTTTAGATACGTGTACAAGTCTTTATTTCCAAGTTACATTTAATATAACACGTATGGACCAGAACTCTTCAATCTAAAATAAAATATGCTAAATATTCTAGGATAAAATATGATTTTATAATCACCCTATTTGCTTAAATTTAACCTACTTCACCCTTTTAATTATAAAATCAACAAAATAATGTCCAATTTTAAATTACTTGTAAATGATTCCGAATGAACAGTAGGAGTTGATCTAGCCAAAAGCGGTTGTTCAATATTTAAAGTTCTATCAGTTATAATTGATACTGGACTTGTCCTTGCAATACAACTTCTTTCATTTCGTCTAAATTTTGCTCGTCTATTTTGAAACCATACCTTCAAATATAAATAGTATTACTAAATATATGAATATTTAATCAATTCGGGTCAGTGACACTATATCATATATTTAATGCAATAACTAAGACAAATTATGTACTAAAATTGAAAAAAAAAATATTTGCCTAATTTCAGAAACCATAAAAATATTTTTGAGTTAATAGATTACCACAAAGCACAGCAATAATGTCTGATATAGACTTGTGTTTCACTAAGATTGTTCTATACAATTATATTTATCACGGTAAATTATAAAGAATTTTTCTTCGACAATACGTTAATAGATATTGTTTTTAGTTAAAGATAATATCCTCAAAAATTGAAAACAATTTCATTAATTTCTTGTAAATAGTGATAATTTCCAAAAAATGTATGTATTCTAGAATGTATAAATTATTAAAAAAAAAACCCAGCACAATGGGGTAATGGCAGAGTTGGGACATGGCATAGTTGGGTCAAGAATAGTAATATCTGACAGTTATTAAAATCACTATAAAAAAAAAAACTCTTCAATGCAAATCTGTAGTGTATAATTTTAAAAAATTGGTAGATTGTATTGATCCATATATCTTTCAAAAAGTTATGGCATTATAAAATTAAAAATATAAAAAAGAATTTTTTTACAACATTTTTTTTTTTATTAACTTTGATGTCCGTTTTCACCATGCAACATACTAAAGCCTGAGAATTTTCTTTTAGCTTCGATGCTGAGAAGGTATTAATTTTACTATGATGTGTTTTTTTTTTTTTTTTTT